TGTTGTTGTAATGTTCAGTTTTATCTGCTAATACTGTACATTTATTTTCCCTCTTCCACTGATACCTATTTTGCACTCACAGTCATCCTGCTTTCCGTCCAAACTCTCCATGACGTGAACCAGTAGAACACGCAAAAACCTGACTTAAATAGTACCGCCTCCACAAGGTTTGCACCTGGTGTCATTCATGCAAATTTCACCTGCAAATCGCACACTAACCAAACGTGCAATTTCTTTGAATGAACACGCAATTTAGTACTCTTTAATTGGGATCTTAACCCACTTCCAATGAGGCTTGAAGGCAGCCTTGGAGAACATGTTAAGTGACAGTGATTTAAAGTAAGAACATTTGATTGCATTAACATGAGAGAGTCTCCATGAACAAAATTGTAAGGTAAAAACTAAACTGAGTTCATAAAAAATCCAAACTAAATGCACCAGTATAGTTTCTCAGAAGTGCTTGTTGGATGGCTGATCATTTTGTCATCAGGTCTGAGGGATGAATCCAACTATGTCAGTGACTTATTTGAGTCCTTTATCACACGTAGAGAAGCGATTGGGCAGGTGTGCAGAATTGAAGCAGTAGCTTATAAAGTATGGTATTTCATTTGTTCCTTAAATAGTTACACAATCTTTTTGGTCACATTATTTGTTAAAAAAATGTGTGAATCACTGTGTATTCCTTTTAGGGAAGAGTGTTAGATGAATTGCTTTGTTGCCCATATTTTAGTTAGTATTGTATGTGCTCTGTACCTTCTCTATGACAGCTAGCTTCATCACTAAATGTGTTAATGTGAGATCACGATCTTTAACTCTTTCGTCCTGATGGTTCAAAGTATCAAAGTCTAATAGCAGACATTTTTTAGAAAGTGTAAGTACATGGAAAACAACAAGGGAATTTGGGGGGTAAGTTACATTATTACATTGTTTAATGTAAAAGGGTTGCTACTAGCAACAGATATGGTTGTTAGAGATATGGTAGGTTCTAAAGAATTAAAAGACCTCATGGCTACTGACCTCATGGCTACTGAAATTGATCTTCTTCAAAACTCAGTCAACATATCTAGTGCACTTCAGAGTGCATGTCCACAAAGTCTTCAAAGTCTACAAACTTTATACAGTATCCAAGGGAAATCAAAATAAGTCTGTACATCCAGCAAAGATTACCCTGAAAAGGTACGAATGTATCCAGGGGAAATATAACAGTATTGAAGAGTTTTGAAAAAGAGGAATATAAGAATATAAGAATGTTTTCGTCTCACAAGTTAAATCCAGACACTGCTGCTGTGATCATAATTCACACTGTTACTCCTCTCTCACCTTCTAATAATAATTCTGTGTGAGTACAAGTGGGAAAATATCTGCATAAGATTAGGATTTGATGAAAATATTTGAAATGCTCTTGAGAGAAACACAGGAACCAATTAAAGTAGTCTCGAACGCAGTTTACATACTAAAACATTTACCACAGCAGATAACCTCGCAACCCACACTCTCTCATTTTGTTTGGTTATTAGCACTACCTCAGATCACGATCTGGATCAGAGACACTGGAGTTAAGCTATCGAGGTAATAGCGGACATGAGGGGCAGTGAAAAATCCTGTGGCTCCAACCAGTCGGCTTACACAGCATGTAGGAGCCTGCTAATGTCACCGGCTGAGCTGCAAGATGTTGGTCCCCATCGATGAAGACAGAAATCTCCCCTCAGGTAGCCTATCAGGAATCTGATCACGAGCACCTGTTTCCATCAGAACATCAATCCACGGGTCTGTCCTAAATAACAGTTTGAGTTAGTAAAGCATCAAGCTTTGGCTGTCAGAGAACGTTAAATTCATCTATTAGCACCCCAGCATATACACTGAGGGAGGCAGCTAAAGGTTTAGAGTACTTGGGAGAATGATGTGTTTTGAGGAGTTCTGCGAATTAGCAGATTCAATGTTATTCAACATAGCAGGTTTTAATGCAACACATGGGCAGAAAATTGTTAAAAAAAAACACTGACACTGAAATCTTTCACTGATTCATTATTGATTATTTTGCTCATGTATTTTTTTTTTATCTTTCATCCAAACACATAATAAAAAGCTATGAAATGTTCAATTTATTTGTGTGCTGCTCGATATTTAATAAGTAATCCTTTAATGTAACAATGTGTTTGTGGAACCTTCAATTTAGAGTGGCTGTGGCCGGGTGATGACAACACAGAAACATGCACCTCTGGTACCGCGCCTCTTTGGGGTGCGTCTTAATTCAAATCCCAAAGAGGTGCAGCGACTCCCTGCCACATCCCTGCAGGGTGAGCCAGCAGATTTTAAAGAAGCAGAGAGGAAGGAATCCTATTAAAGGGGAATTATAAATACGAAATTGACTCTTTGAAAGGAAAGCCTGAACAAAGACGCACCTCAGAGCAAAGAAGAAGAAGAAGAAGGAGAGAAGATATGAAGAATAATATAGCCGCTTCTCAGAAGGCATACATTATAGACAGAAATCCTAATGAACCCCATTTAACATTTAATGTACAGTTAATGACAGCTAGAGGAAGATAGACATGATCAGAGATGCCCGGTGATGTTAGCCCACAATTGTGAGCTTGTGGTTAAGATTTGCGTCATGCACTCAGTAGAAACCAGATTGAATGTAAATGTGCTATCTGTATGGAAGGAGGTAACCCGAGAGAGATTGGCCGACATATGCGTATCAACTAGCAAAGCTTTGAGTGGCCTACCACAGGAGCCATTTATACAGATGTGTTTGTGTATTTTTATCTTATTCTTTCACATAGAAGCAAAACACCTTCTGTGTGTCCCTAGATAAATTATGCAGTAAAGGGGTTGAGAGGTTGTAAAATATAACTGACGAGCCCATAAAACAGAACAGCAGGTGGGAACAAAAGGAAGGTGGTTGAGGACGTCTTTGCTTTGATCGCCTGTCTTTTTGATGAGCCTCTGTTTACCCAAATTATATCTCATAAACCAGGGAGTTAAAATTTGTTCTTACAAAGAACACCCTGCTTTAATGATGCAGAGAGATGCAATCCACAACCGCAAGGTCTAACAGGAAGTCAGGGTAGAAAGGAGTAAATGTCTTCATGCATTGGGAACTGAAAATGTTGCAATTTGTAGATCGCTGTGCCTGGACTACTGGTGAAGACATTTCGAGTTAGCTCACAGCGTTGGACCTATTTACAGAGAGATACATGTATTACAAGAAGTATATGATTTTATCTGATATCAAAGCTAGCAAACACACAGACATAGAGTTTAATTCAAATGAATTACCACCCTTCTTGTTGTCTATAGAAAACAAGAATCCTCCCAAAACAAATCAAAAAGTTTTAATCTCACTTTGTTTACTCCGTGTCTCAATCCCCGATCAGAGACAACCTGCCACTGTGGCTGAAAGTGATTAAGATGACAGAGATTAAGCTCAGTTTTGTGTACGTTCTACATTGGCATTTTTTATTTTATTTTACACAATAAATCATTGAAGTATCAAAGTACAATATAAAATCAATATTGTTATGGTACACTGACACTAAAAGACAAAAGCTTATATTGTCCATGAATGGAAGCTGAATGATAACAAATAAAATTTGTTTGCTTATTATCTTGGAAATCTTTATTGAGATGACTTTCCTCTGAATAACTTTGATATCACAAAGAAACCAGCTGGAAAATAAATCAGTCCACAAACCAGATAGGAAATTGTTCTCAGAAATAAAACTGCTGAAAAGATCCACCTACTAAAAACTGTTTCACAATCAACACTAAATGAATACATTCACATTCTGTTGACTTTATTAAGAGTAGAAGGTATACTTAAAGAGTCAATACCAATTTTAAGGACTCATGTTATAAAATAACTACACATACAGCTGTTGGTCATCATATAGTTTGGCATAAAAACTGGGAGGTGGATTCTGTTACCTTTGGACTGATCCAGACTCTTCCACATGTTTCCAGATATCTTGCTGAGCTAAGCTTTCCTTCTGTTCGCTGTAGTTTTATATTCAAAACCAAAAGTGCTATCAATCTATTCGTCTATTGAGTTTGAAGCCAAGGCGGCTTTTTAATTAAATAGGACATCAACTTTTATCATGAATTGTATTCATGTTTTTGTCCTTAGCACGATAAGACCCCGGGAAGCTACATGTCTGCTGCTAAGAAATTGTATTGAGTGACACATCCAGCTACAGTAAATACAACTTTACAGATATACAAGTGTTGGTATCGGTGACTCTTTGCTGTTTATAAGGAAAACATTCCTTATACATTTGCATTACAGGTATTTCATTTGTCTTTTTGTGTGAAAATAACAATCTATGTTATGAACAATCTGTGTGGGAGGGCTTGGTTTGAACAACACACACACGCACTTACGCACACAATCACTGTTTCATTTATTCGATTCACACCCAGATGCAATGAGAACAGCCATATTATAAAACTGCAGGCTACTGAGCCATCACATAGGAGCTGCCGGAGGTTAAGTGCCTTGTTGAAGTAGTTTGATAGAAGTGAATGGTTCATTAGGCAGCCCTCTGTATATAGTTACCCATATTTCAGTGGCCCTTTCTTTTATACAAACCAACATAACTGATTCTCTGTTGGTGCTGGACTCTAAGGATTGCTTAGATCGCCTTCAGATGGATGTAGGTCAGTCTCAGTATCGTGAGATAAGAAGTTCAACAGCAAGTCTGAAAGACTGAAACCTTAGTCAACAGTATAAAAACAGGCTTTACTGCATTGCAGTGCAAACCAGTTCTGCGTCTTAGCTCCTCCCACAGATCTACTGTGTAACCAAGTATGAATGTGACTGAACAGGCCTTTTAAACAGTCAGCCGCAACTGATTTGAATGTGTAACCATGTTCTATTTTCTCTCTCCCTGCATGAGACACAAGCTCCTGTTGTGCCACTGATCGATGCTGATCTGGAGGATAAACCCTCTTTATGTGCCGGATTAATCACTCAGTGTGTTGTGGGGGCTTGTGTCAGACTCATGGATTGCCTTGATGAATCCCCCGGGAAGTTCAGGAACTTTGAGAAGGACGACTTTGAGGCAGACTGGATTAAAGTGGCAGAAAACAGATTTGGTCAGGTGTATATGGTCAAACTCAAACTCTGGCGGCTTCACTGTGCCCTGAAAAGCTTTGACACAACGTTGTGTGCAAACAACTTTTACAGGTAGGATTTAAAATATATGATATTTGTTGTTGGAATTCTATAATGTTTGAATATCTATTTCCTGTGGGCAAGTTTTAAAAATATATTCCTAATGCCCACACAGACTCACTGACCATTATTCTTTTCATCACAGGAGAATAACAGAGGAGGCGTCCAACATTGCCAAAGTAAAATTCAAGTACATCCTGCCCATCTACGGACTGTGCAACGAAGCAACAGCCTTAGTGATGGATTACATGACTAATGGATCACTGAACAATCTCCTGGCCAGTCACACCTTGATGTGGCCAAAGAAGTTCCAGATGATTCATGAAACCTCCATGGGCATGAATTTCCTCCACAGCATGAAACCTCCACTCCTCCACCTAAACCTCAAGACGTCCAACATCCTCCTGGACGATCATCTGCATGTCAAGGTCAGTGAAACTCAGAGGGAGATCGTACATACTTATGAGGTCTTTTGACATTTCTGTGCTCTGGAGAGTAAAACATGCAAAGCTTGTACAACTCTGGAATTCCTTTTTTTCTATTAAGATTTCAGACTTTGGTTTAATCCACTGGGAAGAAGGCATGAGCAAGAAGTTGTTCTTGGAGAATCTGACAGGGAGAGGAAATATAAGTTACATTCCTCCAGAGACCTTCACTCAGAGCCCTGATCCTCCAGGAACTGCATTTGATATTTACAGGTGACTTACCAAGGGCATTTCTGAAATTACACCATTACCACTCACTGCTATTTCTTTCTGGTTCAGTGTTATATCCACAGTTCACACAGGGCAACCTTGCTCTCTACCTTATTTACTTCAACAATCATGTATCCCTGTAGCATACTCTATAACACCCATAGCTGATACTCTCTCTCTTCACTTTTTATATTCAACACTTTTAAAAAACAACAACTATGATTTGATTTCTGTCGCGATGTTTGAATAAATTTAGGTTGCAACACATTTCCCTTAATGTAGGATATGCATTAGTAAAAAATGAAGACTGAATTGCCTCTATCCACTTTAATCCACAGCTTTGGAATTGTGATTTGGGAGATTCTGACTCAGCAGAAACCGTATACTGGTAGGAATTATTTTATTTCATTTTTTTTATTTATTAACCCTTCCCCCCCCCGTCTGAAACATAACTCATTGAGGAACACGGTGTGTTGAAGAATGCTGTTTGAAACGGAATGCTCAACATATTTCAGCATAGTGGCCCTTTGACAAAATATTCAAAAACTGCACTGAAGAAAAGGGGAGCCTGCTCTAATCGTCTGGTGTCTACTGCACGAGTCCATCTATATGGAACCTGGTGTCTGACATCTGTTTTCTTGACCCAGGGTGCAGTGTGACCACTGTGCTCCTACAGGTGTCAGATGGTAAGAGACCCTCTGTGGAGCTGCTACCTGAACAGAGGCCCCCTGAGTGTGATGAGATGATCCACATCATGAGGCGGTGCTGGGACCATGACCACAAGAAGAGGCCGCAGTTCTCAGGTATGCAAATCAAACTCATGGACCTAAATCTACTTGAACTGTCACAGGAACAAAGAAACCTTGCATCTTGTGTTGTGTTTAATTACCTTAATCCCTCCATCCCATCTCATTAAAAAAAAAACAATGCAGTGTAACAAAGCCATGTTATGATTTAATCAAACTGAAGCACTTAAGGAAAAAGGTGTTTCAAACAAAAAGCACTTATGATGTTCGATATTAAGACTCTCACACACTAATGGATGGAAAAGTGACCCATCTAATTATGTAGTATTACAGTATCATTTCAATATGCTGCCTTGACATCCATTTGGTACTGTTCTCTCAATTAATCTACATTCTATATAAAATCCCAAAAAACAGAAGTTTGCGACATCAGCGGTCTATGAATTGCACCATGTTAAAAAAAGAACACAAGATTTGTATTATCTTAACACAAGAGGGTCACCCTTATTGAGACAGGCACTTATCCCCCGAGAGGTCATCTAAATTAAAACAATTGAGTGTCATGTTTATTCATAAACAACAGCAACTCGATTTTTGATGCTCGCAATAGAAAACTGTGTTTGCAATTTACTGGAAAAAAATCGGCCCTTGATTTATGCATGACCATTAATTTTCTGTAGTGCTACAGCTATCACAGTATTATGGGTTTTGCAGTAGTGAGTGGAAGAAAACATTTGTTTGCTAAGGTACATTCAGAACAGTCTGTTCCCTGACTGCTGCTTTGTTTGCAGACACTGTGAGGAAAACAGAAGTTCTGAGTGAAGTCCTGAAGATCCCAGGACCAATCACGATGTCAAACAGTGACGGCAGACTGAAATTAGATTATCCATCGCTTCTTTCACCAAAACATGAAGTAAGTCCTGCTTCATTTTATGCTTGGATGTTTATATCTCCTCCTTTTCTTTAATGAACAGCTCAGGTTTTTTGTGTTATAAGTTAGAGGGGAAAGCATAATTCATAACACAAAGCCTGTAAAACCCTTCGTTTCACTGAGTCCATTGTTGAAATTAATTTAACTTTTCAATTGATTTTTGTGAATGCTGCTGTTTTAATGATGCCTGTATGAGAAAGGATTTTAGTTACCATGCAAGAGCTTACATCTGAACAGTTTGTTATTATAAAACATATTAATATATATTGTTATCCAGTGTTTTCTAATGCATGGCAGAGGCAGTTTTCCCATGAACGCACAGTGTTTCTGGATGTTTGAACTGCCCTCTCTAAGTCCTTTTGATTTGTATTATTTCCATTTTTATTACACCATGTTCTTTCCTTTGAAGCCAAAGAAAAGTTTCCACTTCAGTGGATGATAACGGGAGATACGACTGTGGGATAAAGTGCTGCTCTAATTTACACTACAAAAACAATTTATTTCACACTAGCAGCTTTGTGAAATGGTAATTTGGTACTGCTTTAAACGTGTAGTAACTGTTTTTTTTTGGTTTTTTTTACAACTTGGGGGTAGCAGAAAAACATTAACTTACATAAAAATGACTCTTTATGTTTATAGTGTAAACTACCTATAATGCATTCGACCATTTACAAATAAAGACATTAAGCTGAATCAATTATTTTTAAAGATGTTTTTCAGGCCACCTAATGAATCCTATCACAATTTGAATCTCTTTTTATGTTTTTTTTTTTTTTTTTTTTTACCTTCCAACACCTCAGAAGTCTTTATTTACACAAAAATGTTTTACTTCTGCGTTGTTCTTCTTACATCATGCCTTGCCTCCCCTCCAGTCCAACAGGGATATCCTCCCACTGCATGTGTAAACGACCAGATCATGAGGTTTTCAGGAACAGTCCTCCTGGAATTCTCTAGAAATTTCCAGGAGTGCACATGTGAAAACAGCTAGAGTAACAGTTTTCAATGATAGAAATGCTTATTTATGTTCACAGATAGTGTTGAACCTGAAACAGCTACCAGATGTGGCGCTTTAAAGGCTGCATTGTCATTTGATGAATACAGTAATAAAACATTGACATTATTATATTAACACAATTACTAACATTAACATACCAACAGGCTATTACAATGCTAACAAGCTGATGTTTGGCAGGTTTTACATTTAGTATGTTAACCATTATGTTTTTACAAGCTAGCTTGCAAACTTTTGCTTATTAGCACTTAAAGTTCAGTTCAGGCTGTAGGGAATCATTATTGTTTTGGTTTAGATGAAAAGTCAGGGTACCAACAGGATATCGTAGGATATTTTCCTGTAGGCATCCATCATGGGTATTTATCAAATTAATTGTCATTCTTATTGCTAGTTGAAAGAAGAAAGGTAATTTCCATATTCATTGTTGTGTAGGCAGGTGATATTTATTGACTGTGTATAAACACGGATGAAGAGTCTCCAAGTCTCTCCGTTGTACAAAAATGAAGCCAAAATACCCCAATTATGGGCGCTGCCATTTTGTGCTTCATGGTGACATAATTCATGGCGGTTTATAAGATCTATACTGCAGCCAGCCACTAGAGGGAGCTTTAAATCTTTTGGCTTCACTTGAACCAGTCTCTCCATGCATCCGTCTTTTGAAACAGTCGGTGTTATCATGTATGCAATTTGATAATATAACTGTCAAACTGTTTAGTCATTTACATCCTTTAGTAGCCACGCTATTGATATCCGTTCATATTAACCACTTGTGATGATTTATGTCACAGCTAACAAATAACATTTGTAATATTTCCTCTCTTTCTTTTCACTTTCAGATGTCTTTGCCTGAGCTGCCTGACCTTCCCTCAGGTAAACACATGGGAAGAAAAAGACTGCAAAATCATGTTCATTGCAGTACAAAGCCTGGAGGGCTGACATTTAAAAAGTGCTATTTACAGTGCTGTCACATTTTTAATATTTCCTTTTGTACTGAAAAGGAAAGACACATATCAGCAGAACAGAGAGTAGAATAAACGTCCATACACATTCTTGTATCCTTTTTTCTTTAAATGTTCAATCAAATTTTGAAGGTTTGATGGTTCACAATACTTTAAATTGATCCTGCATGCAGGTCCCCCTTTAAAATAACAATACATTGATACATTTGTTGAAGTTTTAATGAATGTGTACAATTTACACTAACACCTGACATTGACTGAGCTCTCAAAAAGCCCCAACAACTTCAACACTCTGCACAGCACTACACAATAAAACAGGGAGACTGAGTTTGATTAATTCCTCTGACACACTATGTTAGCCATTCCTGCAGTTCTTTTTCCCATATAACACCCTTTGCTTTTGTTTCACAGACAACTTGCACTCCGAGGACAGAATTATCTCCCTGCTCTTCAAACAGGACTTTGGTAGTTTCAGACAGTCTGTGAGAAAAGAGCACGTACACAAACAGTTTTTAGAAGACATGAACATCCTCCACTATGCGGTGGCCAGTGGGGACGCAGAGAGTGTGGAGCATGTGCTGAATCTGGGTGCTGAAGTCAACTCCACTACTACAAGAGGTTACACTCCTCTTATTGTTGCCGTTCTGAAAAGGTTTGTACAAAGAAATATTCATAACTTGTTTTATACAAGTGACAAAAAAGTATCTATTGAATACAAGTGGCTATTTTTATAATGTCTACATTTAAAAGGTCACTAAGACTTTCTACATTTTGAATACATTCATTTGCCAGTTAGATGAGATCTTGATACCACTCTCATGGTTATAGATGCAAAGGGAGCGAGAGCACAGGAAGCTAGACAGAGTTGGGTTTATGAGAGAAGTGAGTCTATACATTTATGCAGCATGAAATATGTAGTTTTTGCATAAATGTACATAGCCAAGATTATTTATATGTAATAGGTACTTATTATTATTAGCAGTTATACACATTTAACACTTCAATAGACAACAAACTGCAAAAACAGAACTAATGTGAAGCAGGGAAACTGCACAGTGATTATCAATGACTGAGACAAAAATATGCACAGTAAGAGATGTGGTCTCTGCCCAGTCCATCATTTTCTATAGTTATGCAGAGCTGTGTATTTTCAGATGATATTTCAAAACAACACAGTCGCAGTGAACCAGCTCTTATCTGCTGCCTATTACATAACTGTGCAGAGAGTATCATAAACGAATCAGATAGACTTTTTGAGCCAGTAGGTATCGCCCTTGAGCACCAATATGAAACCAAAACAAACTGCTGTTTGGCGACATCTCCGCTATTCTGAAGCCTCCGCTCTCCTCCAGCCACACACCTTCAACCCCCTCCACTCGCGTTCACTCGAAGGAGTTGTAAAATGGAATGCACCATAATTAAGCACACATTAGTGCAAGCAGTGGACAAACATGTCCTTGGCTCGAGCTGCAGTTGTCTGTGGCATGCATTGTTTTGTTAGCAGGCTAATGTTAGCAAGCTCTAGTTAGCTACACATTACATATAAATTGACACAGAATGACTGGATCTAAAAAGGCTTATGTGACATCCAAATAAGCAGTGAGTAGGCTTTGTTATTCTTCATTTCTCTAGTCCTTGACTAAAACAGCTTTAGTACACAAAGGGAAGAGCCGGCTGTCCTGTCCTTTTAAACATGATGTAAACACGGTTCTGACACAGCCTGCTTCTCGCTCATTGTAGACTGTCATGACTCAGAGTCATATTTACATAGGATAAACTTGATTTCTGCTATATTTATGAGTCAAATGTTGCACACCTATACCTTAATATTGCACAGTGAAAAACTAGTCAAACAAAATAACTTCTCAACCATAACACAACAAACACAATAGTTGATGTATGTCTTTAGTTAGTATTAGCCCACCCATCTTCTTTGCTAATGAGTTTAAGGCCACTCCCAGGAGGGTCTCTGCTGTTTGCCTGATGACCTCTTTGGGATGAAAAAGTCAGTCATATTGTCAGTCATGTGAATGAAACATCTTCTCTCCAGGCTTCATGACATCATCTCTTTGTTGCTGGACCATGGCGCAGCCACAGACCTTGGAGATGAAGACCAGTGGACTGCACTCCATTTTGCTGCTCAGAGTGGCGATGACAGAACGGTTCGCCTCCTCTTGGACAAAGGAGCTGCAGCAGAAGCCCGGGAAAAAGCTGGTTGGATGCCCCTCCACCTGGCCTGCCAGAACGGCCACGAAACAGTGGTGCGCCTGCTGCTTTCACGGCTGTCAGAGGAAGCAGTTAATGAACGAGAAGCACAAGGGAGGACGCCTCTCCACCTTGCCTCCGCCTACAGGCATCTGAGTATCGCCAAGCTCCTCCTCTCTCATGGAGCAGATCCCAACGCTACAGACGACTCTCTGTCCACTGCTCTTCACTTAGCTGCAGATGAAGGCCAGTTCAGAATAGTCAGACAGTTACTGATAAGTGGTGTAAATATTGACACTGCAGACAGCAGAGGATTCACTCCGCTCCACTTAGCTGCTCTGAAGGGTCACACTGGCATATGTAGGCTGCTGTTGTCAAACGGGGCCAGCCCAGACTCCAGGACCCTGCAAAGCTGGACTCCCATGCACCTGGCGGCCCTGAAGGGACATGAGGCCACTGTGGTTCAGCTGGAGGGTCAGGGGGCTTGTGTGAATGCTAGAGGTGAAAACGGATGGACCCCGCTCCACCTGGCCTGCCACCAGAGTGAGTCCAAGGTAGTGGCAAGTCTTCTGGCAGCCAGAGCTGATCCCAATGTGTCAGAGGACTGTGACGGATGGTCGCCATTACACGCGGCGTGTAACAGCGTCACTTTCCCAAGTGTCCTCCACTTAATATCACATCATGCAGATGTGAATGCAGTAAACTCAGGGGATGCTTCACCACTACACCTGGCTGCCCAGCACGGCTGCACACCTATCGTAAAGGCTCTGCTGCTGAACGGAGCAGACAGGACTTTGCTGGACTCATCTGGATCCACAGCTCTCAACGTGGCCCAAAGGTGTGAGAAATGGGACATAGTGAAGCTACTGGAGATGTAGGGCTGATAGAAGAACTGTGAAATAGAATAATTAATTAATGCATGTGAACACAGCAGGAAAATGATCATACTTGGTTGTGTTGATATTTCATGTAGCTGTAAAAAGCAGGAATTTGAGAAGATCAAAAAAGTATTATATATATAATATTATATATAATATTATATTATATTATTATTATTATATATATAATAATATAACCAGCATAAGAGAGGATGAATTATCACATTTCATCACTCATTAGTAAACACATTAATACAGAAAATGCAGAAATACAACTTGTTCGCATCCATAATTAACTTTTGATACATTTCATTTAACCTCGTTTTATTTGTCTAGCAAATCATTACATAATCAAATAACCATTTGAGCTTTTCTTTCAATTTACATGAACATTACATTGACAATCTGTAAGTAATTGCTTTGCCTTAGGTTAACCCAGATATGCCACATAAGGTTTTATAAGGTTATAACCTGAAATCAGGCTGTCATTGAATAAATAAAGACACAAACGTCTATAAAATCCTGTAGGGACATTAGAGGGGAAAATTAGAGGGATTCAATGCTGGGGTCAGACTAAGGTAAAGTACCCTATAAGGACAAAACACAAATCAATTCTCGTCTGTGAATCACTTTTTCCTGCATGCTCCTTCTGTGTACTCCGCTGGAATTAAAGCTGCTGCCACGTAGTGATGAAAATGAAAATAAAAGAATGCTCTTCTTATGACTTACTGAGGCATTCATTTGATTAAACCTGTCAGACTTTATGAAGATGTTATGTGTCTTATAAACTGGTGAAAATATGGAGGAATACAGACCTAGTGGATCACTTTTACTGGCATTTATATCATGCCTGAAATTTCAATTTCATTCATCTATTGAACCCTTTTGGCCATAAATACATGTGTGCTTTATGACAAGGCAAACTGATTATCAGACATTCTCTGCAGACTGAGGGAAGCGCTGCCCAGCTCATGCACTACTCATTTTGCACAGTGACACCTTATTAAATCCTAATGAAATGCATGGATTAAGGGCTGTATTGACCTGCACATTCACAGCCTTTTCCCTGTAACCACAAGAGACTGAATGTGATGGAGAGGAGGGGGTTGAGCTGCATGAAATTACAGTTGACTCAGACTGTGAGTTTAGTTTTCTTCTTGTTTTCTTTTTAAATTGGTAATTTTATTCTGAATCTTTTTTTCCTTCTTGAAGTTCGACCCTGAGCATTACAGGTGCTGTCTACTAACTTGCTCTGTGTCTCCATGTTTACCATTTTGGCCCCATGAGAAGACTGAACCATCCATACATCCTGCTTTAGTCCTGGTGGGATTTTAAAGTATTAGAAAAGGCCTACTGTGTGTGTTTGTGTGTGTTTGTGTGTGTGGGGGAGGGTTAAGTCTCAACACAATTACACTTGTATGTGGCTTTTGCCTGACCAGTGCACTGTGAAATAAGCAGTCTAGTGACTTAAATGGCTGTTCAAATAGACCAACTTCTACTTAAATCAAAATAAGATAAGATGTGGCTACTTCACAGTAAAAGCCCATGACTAAACCTTGAGAAGTAGCTTCCAAATGTGATTATTTATATTTAAATCATGATAGCAATGCTTTTTCAGTCAATTTTCATTCTTTGCCCTTGTTTTTTTTTTCTGTGAAAGTTGTGTTCAATTTATGGTTTCATCATATTAGACAGCTATCAGGAAGCTGCACTCTCTTTGGATTTACAATGATCTACATATGCACAAATAGGATTTAACATATCTTTCACTTTTTTTAATCAAAAGCCTGACAAAGTAAAGTATCTGCTGACTCTGCGTTCACTGTCATTTTTCCTCAAAGGTTTGAAAGCAGCTTTGACACTACAAAAAAAAAGCTCTCCTGAGAGGATCGTGTATTTCAGATTGCAGGATGATTTATAGTTAGTAAAAGGCCTTTGTACTGCAGAAACTCCCATTTGAAATTTATGATGCCTTCAATGTCTTCAAAACTGAAACAAACCACGTTGGTGTGATTGTTATCCAAACAAGTCTGATGACAGTTGAACAGATGGGAATGACACAAATATGTGGAATCCACTGATCTGTGTCTTTGTCTAAGCTGTGAAAAAGTGAAAAATTACTTTCACTTTTTCCTGCAATCTGGCCCACCCAAATCAATGGTGCTGCCCCAACCTTTTTACACACACCGTGTCACATTGGATACTTTGTATTGGCGAGTAATTGGGTTTGCAGGCCTCTAAACCAATTTCATTTTCTAATAGGGACATAAGCAGGAAGAAGATAATGTCATGTTAGTTGGTTGTAACACAAACAACAAGAGCCAATGGACAACAGAAAAAGGATACTTTTCCTGTAATATGAGAAGCCAAAATATGCTATTTTTTAACATAAACCTATTTCATTTAGCCTCAAACATCTTAAGGAAACACCTTAAAGATTTTACCCTAAGTGTTTCTATGCTTATGCTTTGTGTGATGCAATAATACCAATTTGTTTAATTTGATTTAAATTATAGTTAGAAGAAAATTCTCCTCCTAATTGCTTTAAATAAACTGCTTCAAGTGATAACAGAATACAGCTCCCCTTTCTGTATTTCCACCGACTTTCTTCATTTAAAGGTTCTAAAGGCTTTATTTTAAAACTCATTCTGAGCAATTTGCATTGATAATACACTTACACATACAGGGCTGCTATGGATGAGCTGTTTCATGTTTTTTGCCGATGTTAACTCAACCACTATAAATTGTTCAGCCTATTTCAGTTACATTTTTCAATTCATTAGACTTTATTTAAGAGGGGGACCGCTGATTTTTAATGTTGTTTCTTGCCTTGGAGGCAAAATCTGAAAGCCCCGTCTGACAAACACAGCGCTCATCTTAATGAAGGCTTGTAATCTGGCTACTTATTGATATATTTAGCTGCTCAGAGGAAAGCCATTACACACTCTTGTCCGAGCCCCTCCTAACAGGCAGGGTTAAACTCACCACTGAGCTGTGCCCCGTGGTGTTAAGCAACTTCAATCATGACTGATGCAGCTGCGCCATTTGATCCAGGTGTGCCGCCTCAGCAGGACCGAGCATTTAAAGGCAGCAGACATCTCAGGTCCTTCCACAGAAACTGATCGAATGATCTTTCACGTCTCCGGAGGGCTGATTTTTCTACAGAATGATGATATGGAAAAGTTTTTTTTTTGCCTCTGTCATCTCATTGTGACCTCTCACTCTGCAGTTTGATGGTAGAATAAACACCCCAGGTCCATCATAGTGAGTCCCCAAGGTTGTTTTTCACTTCAGTGAACCTCAATTCAGGCTCCTGAGTGAAGTAGCTTCAGTAAGCCCCACAAATAACTTTATCATTGTATGAACACGTTGAATAGGAAACAGCACACATTGATTTAGTTACATTCTTAATTTTTAATTATCATCTTGGGTATTTTAATATGAAAATCTATTCCAATACTGCAGAATATATCCTCAAAGCTGGTGAACTATTGTAATTGAATGGCCTTGTTTTCCCCAATGTATTCTCATCCTCTCAGCTCCTTTTCCTTGTGTTGTCATGTTCCACTAAAATGATTAATGGTTGATCTAAATGCTACTGTATCTCCCTAGCACAGAGCAGAAACACCCCCAACCCCCAACTGTACACTGTTTGATGACCCTATAGTACACTGTGCATAGTTTAGCCGCCTCTCACACTTGAGATGACTGCATGCCCCGGCGATTTGTGAGAGTGTGTTAATATAATGCCTCATGTTTCTCTTCTATTCTTAATTTTTATAATCTTTCACCTAGAAAATAATCTCTTTTATGTCCTTTATATTAACACGTTTTCATAAGAGGCATGCATTCCGCCTTTGTCTCGCTTATTTGACGCTCACAAATTATTTGTGATGCAAAGAATAGAAAATACCCAAAATGATTAATTTAAAAAAAACAATTTTCAGCGTTATTTCCATACAATACGATAAAGTTGTTGGGATGGCACTTCATTAAGAAGCAGTCTTTCCAGTGTTTTCATTGAGTCAACTGATAACAATAGAAGGAGTCATTTACTAAGAAACACAATAAAGTAGCAAATGCTTAGCTGTTTTGTAATTGTGTATCATGTGTGGTTTTGTACTAGTCAGGGAGACTTGATGTCTGCTTTTATAGCACAGCATTATACTGTGCTGTAATGCATGTGTGTCTGCTATTTAAGAGGCTGTCATCAAATTTAATGGATTATAAAAAGGGTTACAGAAATAAAAAGGAGAAAATGTACAGGTAAATATATAACATGTTCTGTTTTTATTGCTATTTGGCCTTAAGTCCTCAGATACTGCAAACTTAAATTATAGCCTCTGAGACACTTCTGATGAGCTAGGCTTGTGAGCTGATGTCAAAATGTTCTTTGTAGTCCAAAAGGAAGTTTGCTTTACTTTATTTCATTTTATTTTATATACTTTATTAATCCCTGTGGGGAAATTTGGGTTCATACTCTGTTACTGGGAGACATGCTACTCACACGCTTAGGTCTGAAAGACACACATACAGGACCTACATTGAAGGCATGCTTTAATGGAGAGATGTCAGAGTGAGGGGGCTTCACACAGGGGGGTTCCATAACTGGCAAAGCAGTGAGATATAAATAAAGATATACTGTAAGAGGATGGTAAGCAAGTAAAACAAAAATGTATTTTTTTAGTAATCTGAAACTAAATGTCTATTGTCATCAGCTATTTACTGTTTTATCAGATACTTCTGCAAGTTGTCTTACCGAGTGGTCTTATTATGCAATATTTACTCTAAGTGCAAAGTAACATATTTTGCAGGACTCATTTAGATTATGGATAATCTGTCAATAAATAAGAAATACAATAAATAAAGTTATCAAAGAACAAGGTCAGTCTTCAATGATAGTCAAATTAAGTTACAGCAACTTGCTGAATTTTAACAATGTAATGATGTTTGTGGTGATTTATCTGTTCACTTTGATTTACACAAAAACATTTGGGTTA